CGGGGAAACCACCTCTCTTTCTGGGCCGGCATACATGTCTTCATTTGGGCATGCTGCAAACACAGTGATCTCTGATTAGTCCTACAAGTTCAGCCAATGCTTTGGGACTCATGGATCTCAGCTTCAAAGAGAGCGAGAGGAAATGCCGTGCCCTTCCTGTCACTCCCAGTCGGAACCAAATGACGTGGTCGAGATGCAATGAAGAGATTACACATCCAAATTTAAAAAAATTAAAAAATAGTACGAGCTAACGTAGATTAAAAACAAAGATACAAGTGCACACATACAAAACACACACACACAAACACACATTACTAATTATTAATGTTCAGGAAACAGTGGGCGGTCTGACCATGATTCATTAAATTTAGAGCTTTAGTTTACAACATTCCCATGTCCTTCAATCTCTCAGGACAATGAGGTTTTTTATACGGACTGGAAGCACAAGTAACATGAAGGGATTCCCCAACTGTGCTCACTGACGCCAACTCTCTGATCCTCTTTGTTTGCTCTCATCCCCGACACATCTTCAATCCCTCATCCATACTATTCTATCAATGTTTAACCATAGTGTATTTTTCTTTCCTGTCTCTTATCGGCTTGATGTCATAAAAGGTTTACTAATAGCATGGGGAGAGGTTAACACAGCAGTGCTTCTACATTCCACTCCCTGAGCCTGGTTTGTCCTAGGAACAGACAGAAACACGGGGACAAGATGATGTAAAAGACAGACTTAAAAAAAAAAAAAAAGATATTGTTTGGCAAATACAATATGCCTGCCACAGGCTAATATGCATCTGTTGACTGCTAAAGAATTCTTGAAGCCAAAGCAGAACATAAGGATTATGCTGAAGTACTGTATAACAGACTGATGCTCTCATTGTTACATAAAATAAAGTAAAATTGGTGTTGCAAAATCCTATGAACTGCCGGCTGGCTTCATGCCCTGGAAGCTACATTTGCGTAAGCTTACTACCCTTTGTGTTTGTGTTTGTGTGTGTGTGTGTGTGTGTGTGTGTGTCAGAAACCCTTGTCAGTGCTCAGTGTACGTGGCACAGCCCTTGAATGCAGACCTGCCCTTACTTGACTTCTTAATCTTCGGTTTCCTGCCCTCCCTCTCCGTATCACAGTATAAAAACTTCACGCCACTGTGATTCCTCCCCCTGCTTCGCCTCTACCCTCCCTTCTCTGTATCACACTACAACAGTTTCATGCGCCTTTGCAATCGCTCCCTGGCCTATAGCCCCTCCACTCCTGCTGTTTCCATTGGGGCACTGCACAAAAACGGCACTTGGCACAGTCCCAGCGACTGGGGCCCACATACCTCCCAATCCCTAGATTAAATAGCACCAGTCTCTGAAGTCCTTCCAGGGGCTAATGGCTTTTGTTGCTGGGAATAATCCACACATCCTCTCCCACATCCTGGGGGTCCGCTCCTGAACCCCGCCTTTACCCTCTTCATCTCCCTCTCATCTCCATCTCAATCTCCGCTTCCATTTTGGTTGACCTCCCCGCCTTCCTATGGCACAACCCCGTGGTTAAGTGCGGAGGCATGCAGGACCGAACCACTTGCATTGAGGGGAGGATGCAGTGAGTCTGACACTGGGTTGAGGACCACGCAGAGTTTTATAGGGAGTCAGTGCAGGTGCTGTCTGAAGCTTAATGAAGGCCCTAAATCTCTTCTCTGTCATCTGTAGCTAACAGGAGTCTAAGCAGCCAAGGCAAGAGGGGTAAGTGCCTGGGAGCTATCCTCATAAGGCAAAGAAAATATCCATCAGGCAACAACCACAGAGAAGAGGCTCTGTGTTAGCACTTGATCTCTGTTCAAAATAAATACAGCAGGGAGACAGATTTTCACAAGATGAGGGGAGAGAGTGTTCGTAGATCAAAGAACACTCTGTATTTTGGGTGAAGTAGTTGAAATAAATATGCAAAGTTGAGAACTAGATCCAGACTGTGACCATCTTGTCGCCCTCTGTGCTTCAAAATACCTCTGATTGAGACCGCTCTTGGATATAACGTAAGAAATTTAGGCAGAAAACATATTCAGGTATGAGCTCATATCCTGTCTGGTGGACTTTTCTTCAGGGAGGCCGCCGGGGGAGAGGAGAAAGACAGACAGAGAGAAAGAGAGACTGCGGCTGCAGACCGCAGACACTGGAACAACGTTCACTGACCACCCTAATCAGTTTACTTCATCAACAGTTTGAAAAAAAAAAAAAAGAGCCAGACATTGATGGTCTTTATTTAGCTTCAATTTCCAATTTTAACATCATTCATATGGCTACCAGCTGGACTTCAGTCATATCTACAGGCAAACCATATGCCAACTGAAAGTACTATATTGCAGAGAAAATACAAAACTTCATTTCCAGAGAAACTATCACTACTGCAGAATGCTAGAGGCCAGACTGAAGAGTGATCGCCCGCACAGAGAAGTGGAGAGGACAGAGAAGGACGGCAAACACAGGGGGCTGATTGAGGGATATTATGAGGGCAAAGAGTGTAACAGGAAGTCAGGAGATGAAAAGAGAAAAATAAGAGACAGTGAAGGGTGAAGAAGAAGTGGCGGATTTTCAGGACAGAAGGGCAACAGACAACTGGGGAGTGTAAAGGGGGAAAAATATGGAAAAAGAGTAGAGGGGAAAGTAGCTGAGGAGGAGGACACTGTGTGGGAGAAGAGGGAACAAAGAAATACATAGAGGAGAATTATCTATAGTGTATATAGTACAGTGAATCTGTCATCCTTTGGCTTTGTGCCCACCCATCTGCCCCCAGACCTCCACTGAAACTGCACACAAACAGACATAAAGTACATAAATACACACAGGTCTAGTGTGGAGCAGAGAGCCTGCAGACCACCTGAAACCTCTGAAAAGCTATAACACAGCAGACTATTCACTTACTCACTGAGTCAGTGAAGCTGTGCCCAAAGAAGAGGTTAGCCACCTCTCTCATCAAGAGGGTCAGGGTTTGGGGTTAGGGCTTTGGGGTCTTAATTAGAAGACGAAGGAAGAACCATGTTATGTTTGGAGGAAGGGATGGAGAAGTTGAAATAGTGTAAATTTGACTGACTTGGCTCAGCGTGCCAATTGCATGGCAAAAATATAAAAATGTAAAAAGAACAAAAGTGTGAACAGGTTAAGAGATGAAGTGGGAATAAAATTTTGGAAAGGGCTGAGGGAAGAGAGCTTTTTGGGATGGAAAAAGGGATGAAGGAAGTAAGAGATGATGTGTTCTGGAAACGGGATGAATAGAAGAAGGGAATAGAAAAGTAGAGGGTTAATGATGGGACAATGAAAGAAGACAGGGACAGCGTATGGAAAAAGGGTTTAATAGGAGACCTAGTGAAGATTCCTTTGCCAACTTTAATGCGTTTACATTTTGTCTGGCTTCAATCTAGTTCTGCTAGTGTATTTGAATGTTACTTTTCCTGCTGAAAAATAAAAAATGAAATTGTGGCAGCATCACATCCTTTCATAAGCCCCACGGATATGCTAGCAGGTCAGACGATAAGTCCCATGGGCCAATGTTAAAAGTGGTTATGTTGGGGGGGTTGACAAGTGACTGAATAGACTTTAGAGGAGGTTATGGTTGGACTCTTTAATACAGAAAAGAATTCCAATGTGGAAGATCTCCACGAAGAAGATTGAGACAGAGTGAGGGAGTTTTGAAATGTGAAGTTTGTCATTAATCATTCAACCCAGAAACATTTTACTTGAAAAACCAAACCAGCAGGAGAAAGTTGAGAAATAACAAAGCGCTGACTTTAGCTTTGTTGTGGCAAAACTTTGATGTTCTGTTTCTTTACAACCTGTAAATAATTGTCCAAAAATGGGTCTGCATGCCGACTGCATACTAATCCTTTGCCAAAACTGCTGAATTTTAAAGCTGCTGCATTAAATATTTTTTATATTAATGGATCAGATTCACTATGTGTAATGTGAAAGATGTCACTTATATTATAATAAGAAACCCATAGATAATTACCACCTCTGCTCTGTATACGGAGAACTTTAGCATCTTTCAGCTCATTGTTTTGGTTTAGTGATTCACAGCTTCGCTGTTTTGGTTCATCCTTACTGTTCTCATCAGCGTCGTTTCCAGACACACAAGGCAAACAAAGCTCTTCAAACCCACTTTACACAAACTGCCAAGCAGCAAACACACTAATTTAGCTACTAGCTGGTGAACATGAATATATGAGCCAGATCTTTCCCTCAGGAGCTGGTGGGGACCAAAGAAGAGCTTGAGGGAGAGTGAATATTGGACTATGGGACTATTAAACAGTTCTCTCATGACTATAAACACAACTCAAATGATTTCAGTTTATCTGAAGTTAATATGAATATGTTTGTGCTAACCAACTCAAATGAGGATCTTCTTAAGTCTTTTTAGTACAAGAATCCTCCTTTTTGTTTCAGTGTGAGGGGACATTAACACGAAGAGAGAATTACAAAGACTGAAACTTTGGAACTTTGATTTGTCTCACACAGCTTGCTGAAGGCTAATATTGGCTTCTGATAAACTTTGCAGTGTATGTTCTTTTTATGTTCTTATTTATGTTCTTACAGTGAAATTGATTTGGGCACGGATCTCTTAAGGGCTAGTATTAGTAGGATTCATGTTTACAACAATCGAAACCTGTTACAATATTCACCTAACTGTTGTTTTAAGACAGACTTGAAAAATTGTTACCATATATAATAAAGGCTAATTATATGTCAGCATTGTCTTCACAGCTTGTTTCTGCTGCCCCCAAGTGGTAAAAATAAAAGTTTTTGCAGGTTTAAAAATCCATAAAGAATTTCACTTATTTACTGTTAATTCATTTCACACCTAATTTGTAAAAAAACGTTATCTACTGAAGAGAAATTTTTAACTTACAAGCCTGTTTACTACTGGGTTTCCTTCTTTGTCCCCCAAACTTCCATGTCCAATCCTCTTTCCAGCATTTAGCCCAACACGTTCCACTGTTCTAAGTATCTAAGTGTCATTACCTGGCCATGCCGAGACTGGAGAACCCTGCTGGAACGATGAGAACATCAAGACGGGGAAATGGGTGGACCCCCAGAACGGCATGGGCTGCAGCCAAACATCGAGGCAACAGCTTGAGGACTCCCATCTACAGAAGGACAGCAACAAGTTTCTCAAAACAGCAGGCATCTATAAAATTACAATTTTACCTGAATCAGATGTCTGTTTATAGGATATACAATAGTTTGGGAGTTCATGTATTTGCTCCTCCACATACTAGGTTACTTGACATGGGGTTGTGTGAATATTTTATAAATGAATATTTTCAGCAGATAATACTCTACATGAAGCATACATTTAAACAGATTTTTCTGGTGGCACTGTCCACAGCAACACATAGCTCTGCTAATTTGCCAGTTGCTCCCGGTTGGCTTTCCTAACTGGGAGCACGCAGAACATAATCTACAACAGGTAATGAACCGACTATTCATGAGTACCTCACACAACCCCATGTCAAAAACCCAAACTATCCCTTTAAGTCTGCACTTCCTGTTTTTTCTCTACGATGTTTCGCAACTTATCTAAAAGGCATTATCAGCTCAGAACTGACTGAATGGGCAAAAGCCTTTGACTTAATAGTTATCAATGTTATTCCAGTTAGAAATTCCCATTTTGGGTATGTGGGACATTTTAAATTGTTCTCATGAGAATGCAGTCGCACACTTTTATCATTCTGCCAAGAGATGGTGGTTGAAAACCTCTGGCACAGTGGCACAAACATTAACTGATGCTAACTGTCTCTTCTAATCATATAAAATATAATTAGCTCAGGTCTCAGTGGCCCTTTGTCAAAACCCCACCTGGGCCTTCTGCAGCAAGCTGACGGGGCCAAATACACGGTGTGGAATCACCCGCTGGGACCTAGCCAACTGCTCCGTAAATCGGCAAGGGTAGTCGCCATGGGAACAAGAGACGCCGTCATCCACCATGCCTGAATAATCAGTTACAGAGAGCCCCTCATTCTCAAAGGAAGCGTAAGAGAATGTAGAGTCTGAGCAGGTGGTCTGGTCTCTGCTGTAGCAGATTAAAATGGGGAAGAAAAGTTTAATCCAAGGTTAATAGCAATGATTTAATTAATTTTCTTACTGAGAGAATATACAGTTCTTGAGTTGGTGAACCAATATATGGCACAATGTGTGCTGTCTCTCTGTGCTAAGCATGGAAATGAAAGCAATGGAAATATGGAATATATACGTCACACAGGCAAACCACAGAGATCCCAAAAATATCTAGGTGCTGACATGCAACCTCATTCCCTCTTAAATCCAATATCCAGCACTAACTCCATCCTCAGCATCAGACGTGTTCCAAAGGTTTCGAGCAACATCCAAGTTTCCTTCCAGCCATTCAATGAAAATAAAGGCCTTCCTTGTAGTGGGAGATTCCTGGGGCCTGCAGCAGGCTACGGCTGGGCTGCTGCTGGAGGAAAACCATGAGGGGAGGAGGATGATTACTGGAAACCACTGGCAGACCTTCCAACCTGCTGGCCAGTGAAGAGGAAGACCCCAGCCCAACCCTGCCCTGCCCACAGTAAGCCAGCCCCCACTAATGTCCCAGCCTACACCCTGTATCATGTACCTCTATAAAAATTTATGTCAGCATTGCCTTTTTTCGCTCTCCAAAGACCATTTCTGCTGGGCATTGAACCCAATGTACTGTGGTGCAAGCTTTAATGTACTTGTCATAAAATGCTGATTGAGTGCTGCACCCTATCCATCAACCTAACTTCACCTGCACCTTTTTTGGTATGGCGAAAGGAAAGTTTCACCGTGGAATGTGGAAGGGCCGGACTTGCGTTAATAGCAGACTGAGGAGGAGTAGGAGGAGGTCTTACAAGAAGAAAAGAACACAGGAAAAATAATAAAATACCTGCAAGTCTGGAGTGAAGAGCCCTTTACTACTGCACCAGAGGAGCTTCCAAGTCCAGACACGAGCTCAGCCTCAGTCCATTCCGCAGACCCAGCCTCAGGTTTGGCAGTCTTACCACAATCCGTCCTGTCCCTCACCCCTCTTTCCAATGCTGGGGGAATTTCTGCTGTAACTTGGCACCAGTGGCCCACTGCCAAGGTGAAGGTGGAAGCGGGCATGGGCATAGTGACGTAGTAATTCCAGACGGAGAAACCTGCAGAGGGTAGAGGAAGAAGAAGAGAGGATGAAAATGTCAGTGGTAAGGACGTAGAGAGGAGTTTAGATGACAGAGAGCCTGGAGAGAGATTAAGGAAAAAATATGACTGACTTTGTTTCTTTTTTTGCCATAATAAATCAGTAGACAGTCACATTCTCTGTCATTATTTTTCTGGCTCTGATACAGAAAGATGACGCTGTTTTTTTTTTTTATCTCATCAACAAAGCTCCAATTGTTTTGGTTGAAAGAACGCAACACTTTAACTAATTAAATTACTGAAAAAATCTGAGAGGTGGACAGAGTTTCAGATGTCTTGAACCAGGCTTAAAAAAGCTGGCATCAAAGTGAAAAAATAACGGCTCATTAGAAGTTTGTTTTCTATACGAGTGCCAACACAATACTTAAGTTCAGGTCCCAGTGATACCAGAATTAGACTGTTGCAGAACCATGATTCTGTATACTCCCCTTTTCCCTTTAACAAAATAAGTGAAATTTATCAACTTTACTTTTATTATTGAACAAATGGTCAATCAACAATAAGCCACATTTTCTAATCAAGGGTCTAAAGATAGAGGGTGTTGTATGCTGCACAGAACGAAAGCTCTTTGAAGTAAATTTGTGAATTAGTGATATATTATTAAAATCAACTTGACTTCTACTGGTTGACACAAAAGGTTTGTTAAATAACAGCTTACGTGTGTTTCTGTCCTCAATAGGTACAGCCTGCTCCTCCCCACTCATCAAAACCACACACTCACTGGGGGCCCGTACTGTTGCCTGCCATGTTGACATGGCAACAGGCGGCTCCTGGCAGGGGAAGAGGGCTCGGTTGTTGATGGGAGAACCGGCAGTGTAAACACACACCCTGGAAGGGTAAACAATGGTAAACTATAAACAACCCTCATTTCAATGCTCAAAGGATCCACCAAATATACACACACATACACACATGCAAAGCATCCACGCAGAGAACAGACTATAACAGCCTGTGGCGTGTTTTTGTGAATTAATGAATCAGTATTATTCTGTTCTAACAAAGCAAGCTCAAAATATAAGCTTTAAGAGGAGTCCTCCCTCTTAATCCTATTATAAAAACCACTGTTTTATGGAATGGGTTTAATGATTTGCATCCTGAGACGAACCTGTTGTCCTGGTCTTTGGTCCATCTCACAGAGCCTCCTGTCGGCCTTGTCTCATAGCAGATCCTGACAGCACGAGGGAACTCCTGAGGGGACGTTGCCCCCTTCTTCCTCACCTGGAGACTCCATCGGTCTCTTTGAAAATGCAGTGCACTGCCATCCTGAGCGCCAGGGGCACGGCTACACAGCAAAAACAGCTGGTGCCTCTGCTTCCATCGGCTAGAGGGCAGGGAGATGAGTTTCTGAAAAAAGGCTGCTTGTGGGTTCACTGAGCTGACTCCAGACTTCTCACATCTGACCTCTGATGGGAGACTAGACATGGCTGACACAGAGGTGATGTCCACCTCTTCAACTTTTGACACATCGAGGTCACAGCAGTCCAGCACTAAGGTGAAATCGCCGTCACTGTTGGTTTCCCACAAATGCGAAGAATGAATAGTTTTTGTTTCAGCTGCAGTCTGCGACCCAACCCCGGAAACAGCCTGAAATTCATCTCCTTCTCTTTCTCTAGCACCAAACATCTTATCCATCCTTGTCATACTCTTCTTAAGTCCTTTTGTTCCATCCTCTATTGAATCCACATCCCGTGATCTAGACACAAACCCATCCTGACTCCCTCCAGCCTCTGTAGAGCCAGCTCCATCCCCAGGTCCGGTGCCATCCTCAGCCTTAGTCCTCACCCCACAGCATGGCTCTAGGAACAGAACGACACTACCACTGATGACCTTCCTTTCAAAATGAACAGTCAGGTCCAGCACATAATGTCTGACAAGTATGTGGTTCGTATTGGCTCGGAGTGGAAGGTCATCTGTGTCTGGATTTAGGTCCACATCTGGCTCCATGTCACACAACTTGCGTCAAAGTTATGTAGAGAATTGCTGGACCTAAGACCAAAAATAAATCTTTATTTATTCATGTTACAAACTTTTTATTTATTATAGGCTAATTGACCAAATGTGTGTTTATGTAAGTTTCAGACAAAACTATAAGTTGATATTCCATGGCTTCCTGTGTGCAGATGTGCTTACTTCAGCCTATGAATGAAGTGTTCTGTCAGTGTACTGTGATGAAGCCAACTCTGTCAGGGTTTGTATGCTTAACACAAACTCAAACTCAAACTTAAGTGTCAAACTCCATCTGTTCACACATTCCACAGATGTTTCCAAAAATGAAAAACACCTTCATGATCCTATTTTGATCTGTGTTAATGAAGCAGTAATAGCAAAACACCTCAGCCCAGTGCCAGGAACAGCTAACTGTCTGCAGTAGCCTATATTAAAGCTCTCCTGCTGTATATGAGTTTTATGCTGTCACAATCCTTCCATTTAGTCTGCTCGGGGCATGAGGCAGGCTTGGCAAGACAGAGGTGCAATTACCATTTACAGCACAAAATCCTCAGAGGTTATTCAGTGCAGGAATCTATTCATAAAATTATGAGCACGCAAAAACAGGGGATAACATCTACAGCTACAGAAAAAAAAGCAGAAACCCCATATCTCCCAGGTTTGCTAAAAACATCCATCCCAGACCTATATGGCCACTCTGGTACTACTACACTTCTAAATTGAATGTAGTAACATACTCAATTGTAGAGTGGTGATCATGGTCACCTTATTTCTGCATACAGTGACGATAAAATTTAATAACAAAAGAGTGGCTCCACTTTTCAAATTTGAGAGTTAATTTTCGGAATTACGTTTAAAATAACTCACTGTGCTGCATCTCCACCACTGACAAGCTTTGTACAACTTTGCTCAGAGGAAATGATCAGAGCTTCAAGGTTAACTGCTCTCTGCCTTCGCACAATTGGCCTTTTCATCTGAGGCCATTAACAAACAGAATAAGCTTCCTGATACTTTGGGAACGTGTAGATTTCCATACTTTTTCTCCTGATGCCAAATGGATGGTCTTGTCAATATTGCCACAGTCTGACACAGTATCTGTAATTATTTAGTGCAAAATAATTTGCTTATTTACAGTATATAATATACTTTATAGTGTTGGGTGTAATGATTGAATTTTGTCTTTATATCTGGATCTATGATTGCATTTATTATTATTTTTAACTTGTATTTAACTGCATTAGTTATATAAGTGTTTGCTTCCACGTGCCCAGGGAATGCAGACAGAAATTAGCTATATGCGATACATCTTTTCTCTTTGTAATAACCTCAACTTTCCAGGTGGGTTGCTATGGGCTTAGGAGTAAAGAGAGAGATTGAATAGATAAAGGTTAATAACTTATAAACGATCTTTGTGAATGTTTGAACTGACAGGTCAGGGCGCATAGTGTCCTTGCAAGCAAAACAGGTAAGAGCTTGCCTTTCATGCATGCTATAGTCAGAGCTTTTTATATACAGTCAGTAAGTCAGTCTGACAGAAGGTAACTCAAGGGTTAGCCCTCATATTTATTTAATTACAGTCTAGCTTCAAAGCAAAAGTAGAAATGCTTATTAACTTTTACTGAGGGTTAAGCACATTGACACACGTAGATACAGCGATTGAAGTCGTATGACATGACAGCTCAGTAGCATGTTGTGACCATAGACTGTATATAAAAAGGTTGTGACACATAAAAGACAGCAAGTTATCTTACCAATTCACGTTTGAGTTTTTAAACTTTGGTGGTGTGAAGCTAACTTGACAGCGTGACGTTAGCTACGGAGTTAAGGATAACTTCACATTAAAAGTCTGTTGTCAACAGCGGTCAAAACTATAGCAACGGTGCTGTCTGAAATGACCCGCTTCACTGTAGACAACGCTGTCTTAAATAATGTGCTACAAAACAACTGCCAACGTACCCCTGGGCATCACACGCACGGATGTATCACAGTGCATCCATGATGACAATTACTCGCCTGTTGTGAATGAAATCATCAACTGGTATCCGTCATGTCGCAGTCGAGCAGTGATGTCGTCACATTGACGCGACGGCAGCAGATTGTAGTTCTTAACCCGGCTTCTTCCCGCCTTTTAAACTCGCTTTGTAGTTTCACACTCAGGTTATCAGAGATTTGTGGGAGGAAAAAAAAAAAACACTTGAGAATTTTTATCGATCGTTGAGAAGTAAAATAATCTGTATTTGTCACAGTGCTAAAACAATCACCCATAAAATCATATTTTATTTTTTAATGAATTAAATAAATTAAATAAATACAGCATTATTATTACTATGTAGTAACTATTTTATATTCCATATATATTCCAATAATTCCATATATTATTTTATAAAACTACTAACTTGAATAACTGTAACCTTAATCTGGATAAACTGGACTATAAATGGCTAAAATAACAGACAGAGAGACAGAGAGACAGACAGACAGATAGACTAAAAAAAAAATAAAAATAAAAATAAAAATATTGTATTGACAAAGTAATGACACATGTGCATATATTAAGTTTTATTCAGGTGCTTCAACAGCATTGTATGCATGACAAGTTAAATGTCCACATTTAATGAAACACAACAGGTATGAACATAAAAATAACTCATAAAGAAACATAATTGCAGTCTCCAGTGGTTGAATACCACCAATATATCTTATAACACCAACTCTCAGCAATATCCTGCATGTTTCAAAAAAAGGTATACATTTTAATCAATAATTAATACCCACACTGCATAACATTTTAATATTATTTTACCATTTTGCAGTTCATAAATAAGAGATGTAACTGGAAATAGGAAATATTCAAACAATTATTAATGTCAATAAAAATGTGTACCCACTTTTGAAATGCCAAACACATTTACATTACTGAAATACAGTAATGAGCTGCACCATAACACCAATGAAATGAGCCATTTCATGGATGTCAAATAAAATCAGGTTGTCACTATTCAATACTCCAAAGCAGTAGTAAATTTCTCTTCTGGAATGTATACGGACATATGGAGTAAACATTATTCACATTGCAGAGCACAGCTTTGTGGAGTGACTTCTGAAAATCTTGCATGTCTAGTTAATTATCTCAGTTCCTAAGTAAATAAGAAAGGAATTAAATTTGGCACCGTGTGTATCAAGGAAGTGATCTATTTACAAACAGGTACTGAAACTGCTAGAACATACACTGAGATTGTTACAGCACACTCAGTCACTGAATCCTGCCTACTGAATACTATTTCCAATTAATGTCTTTATTGCTATTATTTATCTAAAAATACATTTCTATAAAATAAAAAGCAAAATAGTTTTTTATACCTTTGTAAACATCATTGTAATCATCTGATGTAATACCTCTACTATATACAAAATGTGGATTTAGATTTAAGCTATGTGGAGCCTCTGCCTCCTGTGAACTTACATCAGATCACTCTTAATAAGTTAAACTCTTCTATTATCTACATGGCCAGGTACTGTATGCCCAACAATAATAACACAAGAATGGCCTTAAGAGTTTACACAGGTAATTGTATCTATTTTTCAAGTGCAGAAACCATCCATACTCTTGCTGCCCTAACTGGCACAGAGGGGAGTTTCAGAGGCCCTTTAGCACATAACAGAATCATTTATCATCACTAAGTACAAAGTGACTTCAGTATGGCACTAAAATCTTCCACTCCAAACATTATCTAAATAAAGACACAACCATTCAAACATTTACATACATACAAACCAGAATTATTGGCACACATACAGGCCCTGGGCCAGCAAGGACCTCAGAGAGGAACTATAGTCTGCTTCTTTGCCAACTTAGAGGAAATGTTTGCAGCATTATTAGGACTTGCAGTTATCAAAAAAAAAGGAAATCAACAGAGCCAAAGCATCTGAAGATTTTACAGTGAAACTCAATAAGCTACACTTTGCTTGTGATCCCCACTCCACTATTTTTATGTGCTCACTCTCTTTTTTCTCCTGTAACAAACAACTGTCAAATCGTAAAAGTGGACATACAGCACACACACAATCTGCTGGATTGTTGAGAAACTGTGAGTCCTCCATTGTGGACACAATGTACTGCTCCCGCACAAAGGAGTGCAAGGATATCACCAGAGGTTCCTTTCCTTGTTTTTTCTCCTCTTTCATCTTATCTTCTCTTTTCCTCTCTCGGCTGTGTGACAGTCTCGCCTTCCTCTCTGTAGCGCTCTCTCTCAGACGAGCCGTCGCATCTCAGGAGTTTTCCTCCTGAGCTCTGCGGAAACTTAGACGTTTGAAAGAATCCCTATGAGAGGGAGAGGGCAGTGGATGAGACAAGGGGGTGGGGGGGGGGGGGGGGGGGGGGGGGGGGATAAGGAATGATGATGACGATGAGGAGGTAGGGCAGCAGAGACATAATGTAAATGTTTCCATGAGCTGGACACAAAATTGGACTTATTTTATTTCAATTACTCACTCTTTACAACTGGAATGTCAGATTTAAAGACCCAGTATTGGCAGGGCTATATTTTTATTTCATATTTTCATATTTTTTTGCTGGTGTAAATATCAGTCCAACTGATTTTGGAAGCTCTCTTGACATTCCAAGTCAAGAGTAATTGATAGAAACTGATAGAAAAATCTAAATTTGGTAGATAGTTTGCCCTTTGAAGCGTGGAAATAAATTGTTACGAGATGTCCCAAGATTATCATGGTCGATCATAAAACTACTTGAGCACATGAGTAATCAGTCTTTATTAATATATGAGTGTAATTTGGCCATGGCATTGGGCTCAACTCTCAATCTGTGCACTGTGGCCCTGCCTCAGCTATCAATATTTCTAAAGGTGACACTGACAGTGTGAATGGATCTCTGCTCGAATCCATTTGTTGTCACTTTACTTTGGGGTCAGCAATCATAGTGATGAAAAGATCAATGGTATGTGTTTTATTTCCAGCTCAGTCTCTCTTGTCAAAGCAGTATTGGCCTTTTGACTTGGTGGGTCTGTTTACCTGTTCTCCAGCCGAGGCCTGATGATGGGTTTATAGAGCTCAGGAATTTTCCTCTCCAGCATCGGCCTCAGGCTTTCTCTCAGGCGGTTGTAGTTCTTCTTAAGCTCCTGCTGGTACTCCTTCTGGTCTGATGTGATCAGGTGCTTATTCTTCTCAACTGCCTCACCACACCTACGGGACAGAGAGCACAGCAAGGTGGAATCAGCTTCAAAATCCATTTTCTTAAATGACATTGCATGAGATGAAAAAAGAGCTGAGTGTACTTCTTGACCTTTGTAATGCAATAACCTCAGACTGAAGAACAGCTTCAACAATGATTCTATGTAAACCAATCTTGCAGTAATCCCCTCTCTATCCTCAAACCTTCAGAAATGCACTGTGCTGTTTCATGCTAACAACATCCTGTAACTACTTGACATAAATTGGACTCCTTTGCAAGCCAGAACACTAAATGAGTTAACAATGTACTTGACTGTAAGGAACTCATATATGCCTGTTACAGCTTTCCAAGGACCTCTGCTAGAATGTGAGCTAAACTGTAAATAACCCATGAGGCTGTTTCGAAACGTAGTTTCAGGAGCAGCAGAGGAAAAACTCACAAATGACCAAACAAATAAAAATCTCGTTTTCCCTTATGTGGTGGAAAATGGAGAATGCCGTATGATAAAGCACCACAAGATTTGAGCTGGACTAAAAGAAAAGGTCAGACATAGGGTCTGCCCGCAGTCCTCTATCATGACATGTATAATGGCCAACATACAAGGCAGTCTGCAGGAAATCAGAGAGACGGGGATGATTGCAAACACATGCCTGAGTTTATCTCTTAGCTTTTAATGAGGGTAATATGGAAACTGTAATGTCGTGTAACAGTATACAGTAAACACGTGGGGTAATGAGCATTAATGACAGTTCAAGGGTAAAGGATTTTCCCTAGCCATAAAAACATCTGTAGCTCTCTATCCGACTTGGTTTGAAGTGTTTAATAGGAGTTCTCCTGATGAGTATCTACAATATTTGGGTGCCTTCTTTTTATGAACTGACTACATAAGAGTGCTTTCTCCAGTCATTTATATGATCGGCTGGCTCTTCCTGTATAGTCATCTTTGTCAGATATTAGAAGTAGATTGTCCGAAGCACTGCAGGTTGTGACAGGCCGCGACTCCTATCAATCAAGCACCCCCCCCCCTCTCCAAACATTCCTCTCTTCAAGCCTTAATCTGAAAATATGTTTCAGAAATGCAATAAATACACTAGTTAAAACAAGTGACAGTAGCATCCGAGACTCCTTTCACAGAACAACTGTGCTGACTGATTTCTCAAGAGAAGTTGTGGATTTTCCTCGACTTCAGTACAGTTAGGGGTTTTCTTGAAGAGATGTTGGTTGCTCCTGTTTTTTGCTTTGCTTTTTATTTTAGACAGTAATTAAATATCTTGATACATTTTTTTAAGGCTTATCTGCCCCTGCGCCAGGACCAGGGAATAATTCTATCATATATCAGTGAGTGAGTGTATTGGTCGAATCATATGACATGACAATACAAGATTATGTCATGGTTTAATAAAATTTAGCTGTCCAAATTTATAATTCTAAGATCATCATAAATAAAATTCAACAAAATACTGTAAGTTATCAGGTTTGGATTTTACATGTGAGTAGAGTTTTATCATATTGCACAGAAGCACACCACAGTTTTTCATAAATTTGCACTGTTGTGATACGTACAGTATCTATATTGTAAGAATATTCTAACGATTGCAATGTTGATGGATAACGCATGGACCTACCCTGAACATTACAGTGCATCGGCTCACAGTAATGACTAAGCAATTAAAAATCAGTGTTTACAGTAACGAGCTGCACAGCAGATGACATGTTTGGATGTTTGGCCTGATGCCTGAGGGGGGCATTCTGTATGTGACGAGAGAGATTCAGCTCAGTGGAGAAAAAGATGACCAACAGAGAGAACAGTGTTTTCCTGAGTGGATTTTATAAGAAAGC